GGCCTCCCTCCTGCCCCGACCCAAGCCCTGCAGACAGACTTTACCCCTCCTGCATCTGAGCCGGAGACCGCCGGGCATTTGAGAGCTTCCTCAGGGCAGGACTGAGAGGGTTTCAGTTTTATGGTTTGAGAAAGAGGAGGATATTGGGAAAACTCGTTTCTTTCAGCAGGGATGCATGGAGCCATTGGACACAAAAGAAATGAAGAGGTGAGGAGGGAACCAGGGTGGCAGGAGGGCGGAACCGGCAAGCCAACAGCGCCAGGTGTGGGAAAGGGGCAGGATCTGAGCCCAGCTGCAAAAGCAAGAGGAAAGGCCTCAGCTTCTCCATAGACGCTGCAGGGGGAAGGGGAGGACAGAGCTCCTGGGAGATACGTGGGGTCAGGAGAATGAGGGTGATGCCGCCTGAAGGACTGAGGAGCCCCAGAGGCATGGGGTGGGGAGGTAGGGTCGGAGAGGCCTGGACCCAGGGCCAGGGGTGAAATCGTCTTAGAGAAAGTGAGAGGAGTTTTCTCCAGAGTGGCCAGGTGGCAGAGTGGCCGGGCACAATCAGATGGTCCCCACGGTGCCCCTGGGGATTACAAATTTCGGCTGACATGAATGGACATGATTTTGTAACATTTCTCCGAGTGCTCACCTGGAGAGGCGCAGAAACAGCGGGAAAGGTGAGCCGTCTGCGGGGACACCAGGTCTTCGGGTGCCTTTGGGAGGGGGACTAAAGCTGGGTGTAAAACTGTTCACGTAAATAAGATAAATAAGATGAAAAACTGCAGAAATAACCAAGAATGACACAGGCATTGGGTGGAGAGGGAAGCTGTGAGCCAGATGCCGAAATTGCCAGGACATGAGTATATGTCCAGGAAGGCATGGATGCTGGCATCCAAGGAGACTGAGGCAGGGCCCAACCCTCCGGGGCCTCCCTGCAGGGAGGCTGGTGGGGGAGGGAAGAGGCATTGAGAAGCACACGGTGCCCTCCACTTAGCCGGTTCCTGCAATCCCGAGACAGGCATTCATGGTCTCACTTGCCAGGCAAGAGACTGGAATTCAGAAAACCTACATCACAGACTAGTCGCGCACGCCATGAGGTTCAACACTCCCTCACATCAACTTCCTGCACAACTTCTCCTACCTTTGTAAAATGGCGTTTTTTCTCCCTGTATTCATTCATTATCACTCAGTGCACCTGGCCGGGACACCTGTGTGTGCCGGTTACTGTGCTGGAAATAGAGAAAATGCCTCAGAGAAGAAGACAGAATGGCTCCAAAGGGGAAGAAAGGCCAGGAAGGTCTCCTGTGTCCTTGCTCACACACAGGAACTACAAGAATGGCCAGAGGCGTGTTGTGGCTGGGTACACCTCGCTGGGAGCCCACGTGTCTGAGGTCTAAGAGAAAAATTCCACAAAGAAACCCACTTTCATTGATTGGAAATGCCTCTGATTTATAATCAAAAAATAATACTTTGGGCTCACTGCTGGGCGATATTAATCCACAGGGTTTTTCAGCACCCTAAAGTTAACAAGCTGGGATTTCTAGAAGGTCTTCCTAGCCAAGTTGTATGTAAACAAATGATCTTCCTTCTAATTGTCAATCTGCATTTCATCAACAAGACAGGACACAGCCTTTATGCCTTACTCTGCAAAAAATCAAGCTTTGTAAAACTTGTGGGTGTTTCGTATTTAACAAAAACAGATAAGTGCTACTTTTTTTTTAGGCACAAAAGTCCAAAGAACATGAAAAATAGTATGATCAATGCAAATTTATCAGTGATGTTTCCATGTCACCATCAGAATATGAAACATAGAAATCTCAGAAGAAAAGTGTTTTCATTAACAGATATAACCAAAAACAATGGAAATAATCATATTAACAAGAAAACGTATTAATTTAATTATGAAGATCTTTATTGGACGTCAACTGTGAGGTGTAGACAATTCTTTGTTGAATCCAAGGCTTTTGAAGTGGTGGCCATCATGATTTCATTTAATGTTTGTCAAAAATATAACCTGTGGTATTTAGAAGAATATCCTTTCTAAATATTGACATGCGTATTCTCAAAAGAAGAAAGAGCTGGTAAAACGGTAATGTGTTTATTCATATCAAACCTTCCACCAAAGAAATTCTCAGCAGTCCCTATGGAGCAAGAGTGCATTACAGCTCAGCTCCACCAACAGGCTGCAATCAACTAAGACTACAGCAAACAAAAACAAGCTCTAGGAATGGTTGATTTGGGTATCAAAGAATGGTGCTGTTGTTCAAACTCTGGGTGAAGGAATCATCCAAGCGGCTGACAAATGTGGACAGCCAGTTCTGAGGTCGGCATAGGTAATCTGGACAGGGAGAAAACAACGTATCCACAGTGATAAGCCGTCCACCGCTTCTCCCTGCAGGCCATGAGGTCCACGGCTTAGCAAAGTTTCCTCACTCAGGTTTCCATGATCTTCTGTGGTTATTATCTTGCCTGGAACATGTCTTGATAATGGTAATTAATGGCAGAAGATAACTTATTTCTCAAGACGCTATTTAATAGACACATTCCTAGGCAAATAATATATTTGGAAAAGTCAAACCTAACTGTCCCTAAGTCTGGGAGGGAGGGAAGAGACGAAGTGACACACTCTCTAACAACACCTATTTATTATTGAACGTCTTTGTAGACTATTAGGTTATTTTCATCCATCCATCCAATCAGTAGTTTTTGAGGGGCTTTTTCACGTGATTTGGAGGTGCTGTGGGGAATAGAAGATGTTTGAGTTGCAGGCTCTCGTAAAATACGTGTGCATGCTTAGGAAGTGTTTCGTCCCCAGAGGCGCAGTGGTTCTGTTTCATTCCAAATTAAACAATGGCCAGAGTAGTGGGACTGCCACTCCTTACGGGTTGGAATATCAGAATCCACACATTCTGCTCTTACAGCTTTCCCCTTGCCCAAACTGGAGAAGACATTTAATGAAGGACTCAGTGTGCGTAGCCCGGGGTCAGAACGTCTGGAAGGTGCCTGAATAAACTGCTTAGATGCAAGGTTGGGGGTGTCAGTCTTCAGCGCGTGCACACTCCAGGTCACACCTGTCTGCTTGGAGAAGCCAGAACTGACTACTATTTCCTTCTCACATTAAAAAAACAATCTCGCTGGGCGCGGTGGCTCACGCCTGTAATCCCAGCACTTTGGGAGGCCGAGGCGGGTGGATCACGAGGTCAAGAGATCGAGACCATCCTGGTCAACATGGTGAAACCCCGTCTCTACTAAAAATACAAAAAATTAGCTGGGCATGGTGGCGCGTGCCTGTAATCCCAGCTACTCAGGACGCTGAGGCAGGAGAATTGCCTGAACCCAGAAGGCAGAGGTTGCGGTGAGCTGAGATTGCGCCATTGCACTGCAGCCTCGGTAACAAGAGTGAAACTCTGTCTCAAAAACAAACAAACAAAAAATCTCATTACCAAGTCAACCTCCTCACCCCATCTTAAAACACATTTAAGGCCAGGTGAGGTGGCTCACGCCTGTAATCCCAGCACTTTGGGAGGCTGAGGCGGATGGATCACGAGGTCAAGAGATCGAGACCATCCTGGCTAACATGGTGAAACCCTATCTCTGCTAAAAATACAAAAAAAATTAGCTGGGTGTGGTGGCGCGCACCTGTGATCCCAGCTACTCGGGAGGCTGAGGCAGGAGAATTGCTTGAACCTCAGAGGTGGAGGTTGCAGTAAGCTGAGGTCGCACCACTGTGCTCCAGCCTGGCACCTGGCAACGGAGTGAGACTGTCTGAAAAACAAACAAACAAACAAAAAACACATTTAAGAGGTTGAAGGAGGAGAATCATTTGAACCTGGGAGGTGAAGCCTGCAGTGAGCTGAGATCACGCCACTGCATTCCAGCCTGGGCAACAGAGCAAGACCCCGTCTCAAAAGAAAAAAATTATGTATTTTATTTTATTTTTAGAAATACATTTCTTTTATTATAACAGGCTCAGTTAATAAAATTCCTTAACAAATTAGAAAGACCATTTCTTAGATGAAAAAGCAAGTGAGTTGACATGTTTTAAATAACAAAACTTATGTCTATTACAATACTCAGAGAATCATGAATATGTGAATTTGAACTAAGCCGTTTAGAACCTTGCCTCAAGTCACACTTTCTTTTTTTTTTTTTTTTTTTTTTCCGGGGTTAAGATTTTTCTGCCTCAGTATTCTGGGATCACAGGTACCTGCCACCACACCTGG